CCAGTTATGACGCATTCTTGAGCAGTTTCTTTACTGTTCAAGAGCCCGGAAGCTGTTTAGGGTGGACAAAGAGATCAGAACACAACTTCTTCATGACAAAACATTAGTATCATAGAATCTTAAACAACCAATACAATAATAAGACAGCAGTTTGAAGTTTAAATGCTATTTTACGTTAAAGATAAACATGATTTGATCCAAAAATTAAAATGTGATAAAAAGAAAAGTAAAAGAAAAAACAATCACGTAAGCCAGCTTACATCATGTTGACAAATTCCACATTACCATCCTCAAGTACGTTTTTTTTCAGCAAATTAAGTCTATACCTTTATTTGGGCTTCATTCATTATCTTTCGATTATTTTACTTTTCAAGACGAGCTGTTTATAAAATGTATAATTGAAATTAATATTTAATTTCAAAATATAATTTCAATTTGAAATGTGTATCATTAAAAATAAGTATTATGGCTTTCTTGGACACCCAAAAAAAAAAAGTCAAAAGCAATGACAAAAACTGACAAGCATATCCTTAAGCTCAAGTTGACTTGAACCTTAATTTCAAGAATTGCAATAGGGAGGGTCACTAGAAATGAATTTGAAAATGTCCATCTTTCTTGTAAACGAATATTTCAACTTATATAACATCCATCCTGTTTTTAAATGTGGGGCCTTCACGTTTTATTGTTTTCTTCCTTCTCGACAGAATCCATCCAAATAGACGTTAAGTATACCTCAACATTTTTATACGATCTTGTAACAAGGTTAGGCCGTTTAGAAGAAGGGTATCATCAAACCTCTCGAAAATATATAAAAAAGAAGAAGGGAAAGATATTCGACATAGCCCGACTAAAGCAATTTCTTAACCTAGCTAGTAAGTATAAATTGAGGGACTTACCAAGTAAGATCAATGCTTCAGGAAGAGAACCGATAACTTGAAAAATACTAGCACCAAAAACACCAGGACCAAGAATTTTGAAAATCCTCTCTCCTCCGGAGGCAACATAGGATTCTCCATGAAACAAAAGATATTCATAAACAATAATCAAGAACAAATGTCCAAGACTACTCTTTGAGCATGGTAAAAACCCATACATTT